CATGTCGCGAGAGCATCTGAAACACAGCAGTAAAAATAAATAAATACCAGCTTTCTAAATATTTCCATCCTACGGAGGGCCATCGTCAACATCTGACACACGCCCTTCTACAACAACTGTACCACCCAACATGCACGTATAAGTCGCATTGTTAGCGTTCCGTTCATATTGTTACTTCCTCCTCTCGACACTTTTCCAGTTCCACATTACAACCTGCTAATCTTTTTCAAATACCCTAAATCTACGCTTTTTAAAAAATTCTTCCCGTTCCTATCTTCTTTTTTCTTCCTGCCTTCCATTTCCTCTTCTTCTTCTCATCTCTGGATAGTGCGACCGTCATACTGACGAGGTCCAGTCGCGGTGTTGAGCTAAGACTTATATGACTTCATGGACGGAATTAAACGTCTTAACTCTCTCGTACATATTTTTCCTATACCAGCAATATTTCTACGTCTTGCATCACATAGTTCGTCCTATTCCTGCCTTCTTTTTTAAGTTCTTCATATTACTTTCATGCTACAGCCATGCGATAGTCAGCTTAGCCGAGAAGCGCTACAATGATAATCTCCGCCACAGAAGATATGAGATTCACGTGTAACCCTCCCCTCTCCTCATCCTCTCCCCCCTTGTTCTTACCCTCGGACAGCAGGAGTTCTTGCCACTTATTCGGCGATCACTGTTATGCGAAACGGCGCGATACGTGAGGGCACGATGAGGCAGCTTTGCCTGCCTGGACGAGCAGAACTACCCCGCTCCCCTCGGGGACAAAGGCCACCCGGGGCAACACATAATCTATGATGACTTCACCACTGCAGCCAAAAGCACCAGTTTTACGGGTTCTCCCCCGGCTCGTGCCCTAATCACCCAATAAAATCGAGCTACACCACCTCCCTCCCCACCCCCTCACCCCTTCTCCCCATACTCCTGACATGCTCCCGAACTTGCCCCCAAGAAACGAAACAGATCTTCCCAATTACTAAAATTCGGTCCAGGCCGGCTTGGGTTAATGCGCGAATTGCGAAAACTGGTGTTGATAGTGGGAAATAAAATGAAGCATGCTAAATGTAATTAAGTCAAATTGTTGGTCGGTGAGTGACCAAAAATTGCATGTGTATGTGAGATGTTGAATGGGAGGGGTGAGAATTGGGTTTTTTTTTTAAAGAGATTGATGAGAATAAAGGTAATGATTAATCAGTAATTGTAGCGACTAGCACTGACCAATGGTAGAAGGACACAAGAGGGAAGTGGTTGGGGAAGAGAAAAGATAGTTATATAGGTGC